TAGTAAGAACTCTAGCTGCTGCATTTTGGACCAGCTGGAGTTTGTTTATTAAGCGTGCAGAACAACCACCCAATAAAGCATTACAATAATCTAACCTTGAGGTCATGAACGCATGAATTAACGTTTCTGCATTTGACATTGAGAGCATAGGTCGTAATTTAGATATATTTTTGAGATGGAAAAATGCAGTTTTATAAATGCTAGAAACGTGGCTTTCAAAGGAAAGATTGCTGTCAAATAGCACACCTAGGTTCCTAACTGATGACGAAGAATTGACAGAACAGCTATCTTAAGTGAACGTTTGGGGAACTGTTGGGGAAAACATCTGATGTGTAACAGTATATTAGATCCGTGCAGTACAGTAGGACTTACTATAAGGCCGTCTGTCTCATTAATGCTATTCTAACCATAGGCCTAAAAGAAAAGATCGCTGCTTTTGATTGAACTGCTTTTGTAGTTGTAATAATCAATTTATTTGTATTGAACACACTGAAGTGATTTTTACATTTGATTATTTGTTTTTCTTACTTGAATGCTTTTGTTTAGATGTAAAATTAAAAAAAGAGTAATGCATTATTTGTTTCTTTCTTATATTTTTTCTACTGTTGTTGTTGTTTTGCATCTGTTTTTACTTGAAATGTTGGTGATGTGTAATATCTACACATAACACCTGATATGTAATATTATATTAGATCCGTGCAGTACAGTAGGACTTACTATACAGGCTGTCTGACTCATTAATGTTAATCTAACAATAAAAGAAAAGATTGCTGTTCTTGTTTGAACTGCTTTTGTAGTTTTAATAATAAATGTATTTGTAATAAACACACTGAAGTGATTTTTACATTTGATTATTTGTTTTTTTGCTTTTCTTTAGATGTAAAATGAAAAAAAGTACTGCACTAGGCCTATTTGTTTCTTTCTTATATTTGTTCTACTGTTGTTGTTGTTGTTGTTTTTTGCATCTGTTCTTATTTTTAATTACAAAGAAAATAAATAATGGCTATATTGTGATTATTAATATAGTAATTAATATTAAGAAAGGAAGTGGAGGAAACAATGCAATCATGAATTCTGTCCATAGACTTCCATCCGCCACAAGAGGTCGCCTCTTCATCATATTGACTCTCACACCACATAGACTGTTACATGTCACTCCGGACATTTCCCATCATCCATTGCACTGATTGCACACAGCTGTCATAGTCTAGTCATAGTCTTGCCTTGTCTGTTTTCCTGGTTCCTGATTCTTGCCACGTATCTTGGATTAACCCTTTGCTTGCTGTTTCAGACTATGTTTGCTTCTCGCCTGGATTTATGCTCACATTTACGGATTACCCCTCTTGTCAATTCCTCTGGATTACGTTTGCTGTCGTCTGACTCAAGCCCGTTTAGGATTGCTCTTTTGTCTTGCCTGTGGGAAGTGGAGGAAACAATGCAATTCAGCATTCAACTTGATTTTTCTCAGAATTGAGTTTGCTGACTCTATCGACTTCAAACGGGTGAAGCTCAGTCATTTTTCATCCGATTCCAACAAATCATACATCATTTTAAAGGTTGAAAATAAAAATAACTCATTTTTGAAAATGTGCTCATTGTGACTCATTTTGCCAGAACAGGTCACATAGAATATTAACATAGCTTTAGTTCTAACAATTTCAACTTTGAACCCATTTGTTGCTAACTAGGGTTATGATATCAGTTTTTACTACATGATTATTTTGCCAAAATAATTCACCATAGGCTTACCGCGGTAATTAGTGTTATTATCAGTGTTACACAGTTTAAATATATCAAAACGAGGGAATGAATACCTCAAATTATTGCACTTTACGTCAATTGATATGTATTTTTCAATATTTCTCATTTTTAATAATTTCATTGTATTTTGGGATGGTGTTATGTTTTTTTTTTTTTTTCAACATCAACTGGAACAGCGCTTCAAATTGTGCTCTATGTAGTGCTATACAATGACAATAAAGGCTTTCAGATCAATTAGTATAACATGGCCACAATTTAATAAAAAGAGGGAATGAATTAAGTCGTACGAGCAAATTCTTAACTCGTGGGGCTTGGCCACAATAAATATATATATATATATATATATATATATATATATATATTTTTGTCCGCGTG